GAGAAACAAACACAGACCCTCCCCTGGGTTGCTGGAGAGGGGATGAAGTGACACTGGGGGGTGGGGGGGTCCCAGCCCCCCATGATTAGGGGGTCCAACTCTGCTGGGCTTCCCCTCCTGGAGACTCCTGTTTTTCTTGTGATCCCAAAGAAAAGAGGGGCTTCTGGGGTGCGGAGCCCCCTCCCTGCTTTGGGTAAGACAACGAGTGCACTGAAGTCCCTCACGCAGCCATGGAGCCCCCCCAGGCCCATCCTTTCCTCCCCACAGGGGTGACAACGCAGCCTGGGGTGGGGACAGCGGGTCAGGGACCCCCCCCAGGGCCGCTGGTGTGGGGACCTGGGGTGTGTGACCAGATGCTGGACACCCACCCTGACCCCTGGCCCTGCCAGGCTCCCAGGGGACACCCCGGTGGGATGGGATGTGCCTGGTCCCCCAGGGCTGTGGGCACCCTCAGGTGGGGAGGGGGCCCCGGGCAGAGTCCTGCAGCCCCCCAACCCTCCCCGGGGCTCCGGTGCCAGCCGGAGGCATCAAATATTAACGGAGGCAGCAGAGGAGCTGAAAATAACCCTCCCTCCAAGGGAGCTGACCCCCCAGATCCAGCCCCAGAGCTGGGCTGGACCCACAGCCCCCACCAGCACCCTGTGGGGACCCAACCCAGCCCCTTCTCCTCCCCTGGGCTGCTCTGCCCTCCTGCTGCCAGCCTATATATCGCCCATAAATTATGCAAATGAGCGATAAGTGCTTATTACGCAAATAGGAGGGGGGTGGTCCCTGGGGCCGGCTGAGAGAGGCCAGTGGGGATGGAAGGGGCCGCAGTGACGTCTGCCTGGGTGTCCGGGGGCTGCCAGGGAGCTCTGCCCTGTCCCTCTCCCCTCCTGTAGCTCACAGGGACCCCCCCCAGGCCGGGCCAGGGCTCTGCCCCACCGCAGCCCTCGCCCCCCACAGCCATGGGGAAGCAGAACAGCAAACTGCGCCCTGAGATGCTCCAGGACCTGCGGGAAAACACCGAGTTCTCCGACCTGGAGCTGCAGGGCTGGTACAAGGGCTTCCTGAAGGACTGTCCCTCTGGCATCCTCAACGTGGAGGAGTTCAAGAAGATCTACGCCAACTTCTTCCCCTACGGAGACGCCTCCAAGTTCGCTGAGCACGTTTTCCGCACCTTCGACACCAACGGCGACGGGACCATCGACTTCAGGGAGTTCATCATCGCCCTGAGCGTCACCTCCCGCGGGAAGCTGGAGCAGAAGCTGATGTGGGCCTTCAGTATGTACGACCTGGATGGCAACGCCTACATCAGCCGGGAGGAGATGCTGGAGATCGTGCAGGTACCGGGTTCCCGCGGCTCCTCCTGCGTGTCACCCGGGCAGGGTGGTGGCTGTCACCTCCTCCTGGGACCTGCACCCTGTGGTAGCCCCAGGATGGGGTTTGGCTGTGCTGGGGACAAAGCCTGCTGCTGTCTGCAGGGAGCCATGGCTGCAGGGATCAGCTGCCCCAGGGCATTCCCTGATCCTTCCCTGGGGGCATCTCTTTGTCACCTCATCCCAGGGCTCTTCCCACTGGCCCTACTCACTGTACTCCCAGGGTGGGACTAGGGGCAAGCAGCCACCCCCAAGCACCCCGGGGCAGAGGGACAAGGTGCCAGCAGCCCAAAGAGATGCTCTTCTTGCCCAGAGCCCAGCCCAGTGGCATCGGTAGGTGACCCTTGAGGTCACTGTGGTGGCATCTCAGTGGACATCTGCTCCCTGCAGCAGGTCCCATCTGCCTCCTGCAGCCAGGTTGTTCCCATGGGGCTGTTGCTTGTCCCCACCCCAGCCCCACCGGTGTGAGGAGGGTGTGAAACACCAGCCCCCTGCCCAGGGCAGCCAGGCCCAGAGCTCCGTGCCCCCATTTTGGGTGGGCACTGGCAGGCACCCACTTTGCACCCACCCTCACCCCCTGTGTCCCTCTCCCAGGCCATCTACAAGATGGTCTCCTCCGTGATGAACATGCCTGAAGATGAGTCGACTCCGGAGAAAAGAACAGAAAAAATCTTCCGACAGATGGATACTAATAATGATGGTAAATGAGAGACGGAGGGGATTAAGGGAAAGGTCTCCTGGCTAAATCCGGGGCTCTTAGAGGAGCCGCACGCACGCTGATTAAATGGCTCATGTCTGCTGGGGCAGCCCGAGGGGCTCAGTGTGCCCCCCACCCCACATCCACCCTGCATCCCACCCCACATCCCACCCTGCATCCCACCCTGCATCCCACCCTGCATCCCACATCACATCCCACCCTGCATCCCACCCTGCATCCCACCCGGCTCCCCCCCCGCCATCA